TGCTGTCCCTGCAGGCGGTGCCGGAGCTGCTCCGCGCCGTCCTCCGCCCCCTCCAGCAGACCCGCGCCCGGGGCCCCGCCGCCGCGCCCCTCGCGGCAGAGACCCCCGCCCGCAGCCCCGCCGAGCCCTTTCCCCGTCGTGTCCCCCCTTCTGGTCCGCGCAGAAGCCTGTTTCTCAGCGCCCCCCGACCCCGTCGGCAGCTCCGAAGAGCCTCGGGGAGCTTTCCAGCGAGGTGTCGGTTTGCGCCGGGGAATGATGGGAGGTGCGGTTCAGCACATCTGGATGAGGCCCGATGGGAGTCCCCGTAGGGGGTGCTCGGCTGTCCCCTTCCCTCCGCTGGTCGGTCGCAGCCTTTCGTGGCCTCGGACGTGTCCTAAGAGCTCTTGGGACGTTGTCGCTGGCTGTCGGGACGGTCCCTTCTCCTATGGGAGCAGGGCTTTTTCTGCAGAGGGAAACTTTGGGGGCGGGAAGGGGGCTTCTTTTGTAGATCTTATGTCTAGTCCTGAGCGGTTTCCTTGGCTTTCCTCTGGTCAGAAAGCTATGGCTTTCTCTCTCGCTGTACTGTTTATCATCTTGGGAGGCTTCAGTCACGGTTTTTATCACATTCATCATTATTAAAAGCAGTTTTATTCCCATTCCTCCCTTATGCTTTCAAGTCCAAGCAGCAGAATAGCCTGCGCTCTAGAGCTGAGTGTGGGTGGTCACTTAATCATTGGTTATCGTGGTGTCTGAACCCAGCAGGGCTAACAACCCATGAAGAGATGCCCTGGTTTGTTGTCAGGTTGCAGACTGAGCTCTCCCGGATGGTTTGCTATTTGGGTTTGGTTCAGATGACATGCTAACCTGCTGTTTCTACAGCGACTCCACTTATCCATTGAATGCGTTAGTATATTGTTAGCCATGAATGGGGTGCAGAGAACATGAGAACCCTGGTTCAGCCTGGTTCATACTCGGCCCTGTGATCAAGTTTTGTCAGAACCCAGCCACGTGACCTTTCGGTCCAGCTGGTGGGATTCTCAATGTCATCCCTTGGCCACTGGTTTGCCAGAGAGGCATTCTTCAGAGAAGAGGATTGTTATATATATATGTGATTAGAAATGATTATATATGATTATAAAGTGATCAAGACATGTGAAATTTGTTTGGGATTGCATCGTTGTATACTTTATCTTGCCAGATCTCCTTTGCTTATTTAAATTATGGCCCTGCAACCTCTCGATGTATTAATATCTTTATTTTTTAGATTTTTATTAGCTTTATGCCTTAGCAATCGCTCCTCAGAATAGCTTATATAGTTGTCGGCTTGCTTAAGACTTCCATCATTTGCACTCTATTAAAAAATAATGGAATTCTTCATTTGGGCTCGATTCTTCCTCCTTAGAATCAATCTCCTTGTTTTCTCTGGTCATTCCAATTTCACACTGAAGACATGTCTGTGTTTCTGTGATTCATGCATTCTCCACATAATGTGTCCTAGGCATAATTACCCCCAAATCATTAATTACCACTTGGAAACTGCCAGGTGTACCTGCCTTGAATTTGCAGTTGGCGTCTGTTTGGATGTACAAATGAACATATGAAATGGGGAAATTTTCTGCCCCAAAATCCCATGCCAGAAATTGTTCTCTTCCTGAAAACGCCCTGCATCATTGGCACACAGGGCAAGTTTGAATGGGGGGGATTCACACATCTCTTCCCCCCTCCATACTTAATAGTCTTTCTTCTTCACTCAAGGCCCGAATCAAGAAGATCATGCAGACGGACGAGGAGATAGGCAAGGTTGCTGCCGCGGTCCCCGTGATCATTTGTATCCTGGCTGCGGGGGGCAACTCCCTCCCACCCGAGCACAAGCAACGAGGCTGCAGGGCGAACTTCCTCCTCGCAGGAGACGATTCTGCCACGCCAAATTTTCCATGGTGTTGCAGATGCTGTGTAAGGTGCTCCCCCAGATGCATCTCACATGGCAACCCCCCCCCCCACCCCAGGGCCAGAATTCCAACTCTTTGTTGACTTGCGGCGGGCGCAACTCAGTTGCTTCATTAGATACAACATGCACTGATAGTAAATTGTGTTTTTCTGCAAGAATGGCTTCCCGCTCTGCAGAAAAAACAAACACAAACAAAGAAGAAACAAATCCCCTCTTTTATGCTGGTTTCTGGGTGCGAAAATCATGGATTCTCCTTTGTTTTGGATGGCCTGCTGTAAGTTCCATCCTGAGAGAAGGAAAAGGCAGGGACTAAAGGGAGCTAAACATTCCATTGAAGAAAATAGGGTGAGTTGCCCATTTTTAAAAGTCTTATTTTCACGAGCTTAACACCACCATCAGCTTTCTGTAAGTCTGGAAAGATCGCAGGTCCTTGCTGGGTGCGTTTTTTTGCTCTTAATGTCCGCTTGGGTTGATCTAAAGATTGTTTTCATATTTAGAGATTCTCCCCACGTATATAAATAGCCTTATCTTGTTCTTAGGAGATTGCATTCCCAAGACTGATAGACCATCTGTTACTGCAGTTGGCTATACAAGGGAATATTTATGGTGTTTATTATCTTAGGGAGCAATTGCAATCATCAGCCTCCAAGCTTGGAAGATCATGAGAGGGGGAAAAGGGTGGAGGACTAGGCAGCTTATAAGAAATTGGGCAGCTCATGTCTTCCCCACTCTCTGCCTCCCTGGAACACCCCTTGCCCCCTCTCTGAGGCACTGCCCCAGCTTTGGAGAAGCATTGAGGTTCTTCCCTCAACAGCTGCAGGGCGGATGGGGAGGGAGACCAGAGTACGGATCCCCCACTCCGAGGTTGCAGCTCTGTTTCTGAGCTCGGATCCGGGAAGCTGGGGGATCTTCTCCCACCTGCCCATAGCTCAGTGGTGGAATGCTTGCTCTGGATGGGGAAAACCCCGAGTTTTGCTTGCCTCCATCAGCTTCTTTAAAAGAAGCTGTCAGGTGACAGGAAAAAATCTCAGAGCCTGGGGAGCTGCTTCAGGACAGGGCTCCGGGTTTTGGTCCCTGCTGGGCAAGGAATCCTCCTCCATCTCCCTCCCTCAGTGCAGCAGCCTCTTTCGGCAGGCCCCTCCTGGCACGAGGGCCCCTGGCAGCTGCCCAGCCGTGCCCGTCCATGGCGCCAGCCCCGGCGCTCTAGTCCGACCTGGCCGGCGAACACTTCCTGCAGCTCGCGTTGCCTGCGTGCTCCGCTGCAGATCGGCAGGGTGGGATGGGACCTCCCTTCCTGGCATCCCTTAACTCGTGGCCACCCCAAGCTCGGGCACTGGAGCTCTTCCTCGAATCCCTGCTGAAGAAGGCCTGCCACGTGACGCAGTCCAGGAACGCCAAGACCATGACGACGTCGCACCTGTGAGTATCGGCGGCTGCCTCACCTCTTGCGTTCCCCCATCGACTCCAACTCCGCTCAGGGCATCACACGGTGGGCAGAGGACGCGGGGGCTTCCCACGGAAACCCGCAGCTGTGCAAGCGTCTTGCTTGGCAGAGCGCAGGGCAGGGCAGGGCAGGAAGGGGGGCTGACTGCTGGATACTCTCCCATCAGCCCTTGCAAGCGTGCCGAATAGCCAGGAATGCTGGGAGAATATCCAGCCATCAGATGCTCGAAACGCCTGGAGATCGCTCCACCCTGCTGATGTAGGTCAGCCTTCTCTAATATTGCACACTCCAGATGTGTTGGCCATGGGTCGCACCAGCTGAGGATGATGGGAGTGGTTGGCCAAGAAGCCTGAGGGTGTCAGGTTGGGGAAGGGAGGTGCCCACAGTCCAGACCTACATAGGATAATAATCTCCTGGCGTAGTATATAAGGCAAGCTCATATGTTCCTATTTCGACCAACCCTTTGTTTAGGATCATGAGGACTGGAATCTTACTTGCCCTTCTTAGGCAGGCCCATAACTCTGAATTAGAGCACCTGATTTACATGCAGAAGACACTCCTGCTCTGGTTAGGGCTGCAAATGAGGAGTGCCAATGAAGGACAGATAAATGTCGGATTGATCAACCAAGGGGCTGACCAGAGAGTGCGGTTCATAAAACTCCAAAACCATGAGGACTAGAAGTCTGTATTTAATGTTTTAAGCTGCAGTTGAGTGCCTGCTGCCTCTGGCTGCATCGCGAAGCCTGTGATCCATTTCTTGCAGGAAACAGTGCATAGAGATAGAGCAACAGTTTGATTTCCTGAAGGACCTCGTTGCTTCCGTGCCAGATATGCAAGGAGAAGCTGAAGAGAACCACATGGAGGGAGAGAAGGTTTCCCGGAGGTAAGAGGAGGAGCAGGGAGGCTGTCGCGTGGGGATGCCGCACCCACTTTTCCTGCAGGAGGCCCTGGACTCTTAATTCTGCGTGATGCTTGTCCTCATCTCCACCTGCTCCTCTCTCTTCAGGGGCCGAAAGCCTGGGAGTGGACGGAAAAACGGTGGCACCACAGGCAAGGGAAGGGACCTGAAGCAATCCGGCACAGACTCAGAGCAAGAGGTGGGTTGCCGCTGGGCCGGGAAATCTCTTCTGAGAGGAGGGAGTGTCCGACTTCCTCCCTTGGCCGGCTGTCCGTCCCCTGGGACTAGCAAGCACAGCCCCGTTCGATTCTCTGCCTCTTTTCCCACCTCCCTTTCACCCCCGGAGCAGCAGCTGGGCTATTTCTGCGTCTTCGCACAGCGCCTTGCGCTGCCCGGACAAGCCAGGGCCTAGGCGAATGTGTGAGCCGCCCAGCTGCGGGCATCTTCCCAGCGGCTTGGGAAGCTCAATCTAGCCGCCCCCTCGGAGGAGCAGGAATGAGGCCGGGACGGCTCAGCGGCTGAGCTGGATGCGGCCGCTGTGGGCAGGGGCAGCGTCTGGGGCTTGGTGCCCCCCAGAGTTGTCCGGAGCGACTTGGAACAGGGCGACAAGTTCACTCCAGGTCACCTTCTCTCGGTTCACGCAGGACGAGTCGGAAGACAGTGAAAGCAACGGCGAGGAGGAAGTGTCCCCAGCGGCGCCTCCTGCGCGACCCGCCACGCATCTTTCCACGTAGGCCCGTTATTTCGCTTCCGCTCTTGTTTGCTTCTTTAATTTGCAGGGGGCTGGAGAACCTATTCTAAAGTTCGGGGGGGGGCGGTGTTCCAGCACTGCGTGGGCCCAAAGGGGAAAGAGGCAGAGCTCAAATAGGAAAACACATCGAGATTTGACGTGTCTCCGAGGGAAAGTTCTTTCCCCCCGTTAATTTACTGGGGGGGAAAGATTGTCGGGACCCTTTGCCAGGGGATCTGGGGGTAAGCCCCAGGACTTGTCATGTGCAGCAGGGGCACTGATCCTCCTTCGACCCCAGCAGGAGGGCAAACTTTGGAAAAGCCCCCGGACGACCCACTGCATAGCTTAAAGCTCTCCCTGCAAGTAGAAGTCTCAGGAAAGGATTTCAAGTTTTCACAATTGTGGGGGAAGACAGCCAAAATGCAAGAAAACCACCAAAGGATCAGTGCTTGGAGGGGTGCAGACACCAAGTCTGAGGTGTCGCACCCCAGTTTTCCTTCCGTGACGCCTGGAAAGGGTTCCAGGCCTCGCTTTTGCCCACCGTGAATGGAGCACCCAGGAAGCCTGGCAGGATCAGCCTTCCTAGATTCCCTGGTAGTCCCTGTCAGTGCCAGCGCCCATCCTGGGCCCCCATCCGGAGGTTTATCTAGCAGTAGCAGCTGTGTCTGGGAAGCCACCGACTTTTTGAAAGGTCCTACCATGCCTTGAGTGAAATATTCAGAATTCCAGGTAGTTTGCGACCCTCGTCAGGGTCCAGAACCCTCCTCATGCAACCTGGAGGGACTGCGTTTGGCCACGGGGCCAGTCTCGATCTTCTGCAAGGCATCCTGCAAGGAGAACTTCTGCCCCAAATTACGGTTCTCCTCGCCCAAGGGACCCCAGTCAGCTTCTGAGGCTTCGGGAGCCCTTCTTTGGGTCCCTGCCCTGTTGTTACGATCGTCTTTGGAGCCTCTTTTATGGGTTCCACCACCCGACAACTTAATACAAGGTTATCCCAGAAAAGGTCTTCTCTGCAGTGGCCCCTGATCTATGAAAACCTTTCCCTGGGAGACACGCCTTGCTGTCTTCATTGTATACACTTAGATCCCAGGTAAAAACCTTCCTCTTTAAGCAAGCCCTTAACCTTTCGTTTGTTGCTTTGGCGATCGCCTTTACTTCGGGCACCTCAGCATTTTGAACTTTTCTTTTAATGACTCTTATTCCAACAATTGCATTTTTGACACCAAAAGCGAATCGGGGCTTTTGGACAGCTCAAATTTTGAGCTCCGTGGTCGAGATCCAAGACATACCCAGGAACTGCAGAAAAAGATTTCCAGCCGCTCTCCAAACCATCAAGGAAGCAACCTCAGAGAGCACTGGATTCTAGGGGGAAGGGAGACAGTCGGAGCAGCCAATTCCTGAAGCCCCTTCCCCTCCCCTTGCAAAACGCCGTTGGCAAAAAGGCAGAGGAGGTGAAGAGCGGGGGGAAAGCTTCCCACCTGTAAACCATCCCGAGGTGCTTGCCAGAAAGCAAATGAGGACCCATTCGCCTTGCAGAACGCGAGCAGCCCTGCGCTCTAACGCCCAGCTGCCTCTTTCTCCCCTTTTCCTCCAGCATCCCAGGGCCCTACCTGCATTTCACCTCTCCGCCAGCACCTGCGATGCCCGTGCCTGTGTGTGCACCGACAGGAGACTTGCCCATGGCTTCCACACCTGCGCTGCTCACGCCGGCCAGAGAAGACGACGAGGAAGATTACGACTCTTAACCATAGTTCTCTTTTTCGCTGCTGCCACTTTGGGGCTGGGGGTGGGGGGGCGGGGAAATAGAGCAGGGTTTGGATGGGGCTGTTCCTAAATTTATTAAAAAACGTGAAACTCTGGCAGGATCTTCAAGCAGGTTTTATTTTCCTTCCTGGCTAGGGGTGTTTGGGAAGGCTGGAAATCCTTGAGCTGCCTCGGCTGCCGTTTTTGTTGTTAAGCGGAGACACGGAGAGAGTGAGCGTGGAAAGCAGATCGGTTTGTAAAAAGCAAGACGTGTTTTTTCTTCTTAAAAAAAGACCAACTACAGGAGATTGTATGTTTTCCATCTTCTGGCACTCGATACAAAGAAGAAAGCTCTGGAAAGGGGGAGGGGGTGCCCGTAAGGTACCGTCCTACCCCAGAATACCATCTGAGATCCTAAGGAATCATGGAAAAGACGGAAATGAAGCTCTGCCCAGGTAGGCAGGTATCCAATTGCGAAAGGGAAGGGGGAACTTTAGGCCTCTGTGGGGAGCACAAACTTACAGAATTCGTCTGTAGGACGAATGCAGCAAACCATGATTAACAGAAACCAAGTGGACACAACTGTAACCTCACGGGTGAAAAGAGAAGGGTTGTTTCAGCGAGAAGCAAGTCAGAAATAATCATTCTTTCTAGGAGTTGGCAGTGCAACGCAAGACGGGGGACAGAAGCGAGTCCTTCTCCCGCCCCGGTTTCATTCTTTCTTTGCGGTGGGCACTGGGAATCGCCTTCATGCGTACGTTCAGGTATTCCTTCAGGACCAGTGCATCCTCAGAAATGCAGCCTGCCCACCCAGAGAGCCGGCGGCAAATTCAGCTCGCAGGGTGTGCAACTTCAGTCTGGTCTGCCGAGTGCTTCCTCGTGGCAGTGCTGGCCACGGCCGTCCCACATTTGGGGCAGGCAAGAGCACGGAAAGGAGATGAGAGAAGATACGACCCAGCCAACCAGCCAGTATCCCTGAGTAATCAGCAGAAAAGGCATTGTGTGCTTTCAGCGAGGCGGGGAGGAAAGTGGCCACTTTCAATGCTTTGGCCTACAATTCCCATCAGCCCCAGCCAAGACAAAGAAAGGGGTGATGGAAGTTGCAATCCAACGCCATCTGCAGGGCTACACATTCCCATCCCTGGTTTTGGCATTCCTCTCAGTCATGAGGCCTAGAAACTTGATTCCGTTTTTGCTGAAGAAGAAGGGAGAGGATGGGAACGAATGGAATTCCCTGAGCCATAGTTTGCAGCCTTAAGCCGCATGGAAGTCACGTATAGCAAGAAGTTTCAAGAGATGAATAGCACTGCCTTTGGGACTCGCTGTTAGCAACCCTTGCCCTAAAAAGGAATGTTTTCCCAAAGCGCTTGCTGGGCAGGGAGGGGTTGCATCATCAAATTCCAGAGGACTAGCGACTTGCAAGGAGCAAAAGCCTGGAACAAGAGAACTGTAGGCGCTTTGAATGCATTTTCCCCTCCCATCAAAACTAGAAACGCGTTCAAGAGATCTTCCACCGTTCCCAAGTGATGATGCGAACTGACGCTTCACCAAAGAAACCCCTTAAATTGCGGAGATTCGACAGAAGAGGAAAAGGAAAAACACCGGAAGGGAAAGAAAGCGGGTCAGAATGCGCGAAGGATAGAGGAGGCACCGGGACCCCTATCGGACCGTCACCCCCAGCTTCTCCAGGATCCTGGTGCCCTTCTCCATGTACTCGGAGCGCTGCATCCAGAAGTTGTCTTTATCCTTCATAATGTCAGCGAGAACGGCGCCACCCAAGAACACCATGTGCTTCCTGCGTGGAGGATCCTCGATGCGAATCTTGAATTTCTGTCCGGGAGGAAAAAGGGAAGTTCAGAAGGGATGCCCGGGACTCAGCAGGGTGTGAGACTTAGACATAGCCTAAACTCTGTGCATGTTTAGATACAACAATGCTGGCTGGGAAAGGAGGGCAGTTGGTAGAAGCTCTTTCCGTCTAAACATGCATGAAATTGGGGCCTGGGGTACCGAGACGGGCTGGAGCGGAACGCCATGCAAAGCAAAGGCAGACGAGAGTGCCAGGAGGGTAGTCGGTCCACTAAAGGACTGCCTCTGAGATGCAAAACCCGAAACAGCCGAGTAACGGCCGGCGTGCAGAGGCCGCTCCTTCCCCTTTTAATACTTCACAGCCAGGTAACAAGCTGAGCTGCCCCGGCCCCCCAGAAGGGCACCAAAGCCAGGGCCCGATTCTGCAGGTCCGATATTGGGGTGTCGGATGGGAGGGAACAGAGGAATTTAGTTCTGGGAAAAACGTCCTGGAGAAATTAAGGTGTCGGGCTTGTTGGTGAAATGGGTGGGTCGGACAGGACCTCCCCCTCCTCCTGCTCTGAACCCCACAGAGCCACAGCGGGTGGCGGACCGCTCCAATTGTTTTGCCTGCATCAGAGAACGGCCCTCTGGATGGGAATCCGTGGTTTCCGTGTGCAAACAAGCATTCTGTGGCCAGAGCGGTGGCCATTTTGTGAGAGCGCCCGGCACCCTCTGTCAAAATCCCGAAGGTGCACCACCAACCCCAATATTTCGGGGACCCCACGCTAGGGGGGAGCTGCCGCCGGGGTCTGCCAGCGGCCCTGCCACTCACCGACAGCTTCTCCACGTCGCCTTTCAGGACCCGTTCCAGGTAAAGCTGCTTGATCTCACGCTCCAGCCGCGACGGCAATCCGGGGTACATGGTGGAGCCCCCCGAAAGCACAATGTGCTTGTAGAATTCGGCCCTGCAGCACAGACACGGTGCAAGCAGGAGTGAGACCAGGAGAGGGATGGGGAAATCGGGCGTCTCGCCCCAACCGTTGCAAGAAAACCAGTGGCCGGCTGAGCCCCGTTGTCCCCCCATGTCTGCTCATCACCAGCGGAGACGAACGCTGGCCACCAGAGTGCTGGAACGCAGGATTCCAGGATACTCCATCCCATCCTCCACTCCCTCTACCCTTCGATCCAGTTTTCCGGCTTGTTTTCTCATCCCCAATCAGCCTTCGGTGGCTCCTGAAAATGCCTTGTCGCCAGAGCAGGATCCAGGCTTGGGAGAGCCCCTGGGGGAGACCACTGTGCCCCCTTTGCAGTGCCTTCCTCGCCAGTGGCCCTGCCGCAGCCTCCTCTTCCTCGCTATGGCCACACTTGCTTGCCTGGCAGGCAGAGAGCCCGGGAGCAGGGCAGCCGAGGCGTCTGTTGCGCCCGCTTCTCGCCACCTCCGTGGTGTGGGCCACAGCAAGGGGGACGCCCCATCCTCCCTCTCGCCCCGGTGCATGTGCCTTGCACCCCTCGCAGAGTTTTTCCCAGCCCGCTGATCCCCCGGGGTGTGGACGGCACCCTTTTGGGTCCCCTACACAACAGCACCCACTCCCTGAGCCTGTATTTAACGGGCTTGCCCAAAATTCCGCCTGCCCGGGCAGATTCCTCACCGGGTGTCGATGTCGGCCGCTTGGATGGTGTTGAACAGCAGCTCGGCCATGCCCACGCCCTCCACGTTGATGAGGTGGGGCTGGAACAGGGCCTCCGGCGCCTCGAAGCGCTCCCCACCCACCTTGATCACGCGCCCGTCCGGCAGCTGCAGGGAGACAGAGAAAGGTGACCCCACAGACACACCTGCCCCGCACACCCGTCGCACCTTCGCCTCGGCGTGTCACATCGGGCCTGCGCAACGGGTCTGGGGGTGGGGGGTGGCATGCAGAAAGAATGTCAACCCCAGAGCCAAGTTTCAGTCGGCTCCGGGGCTCTGAGAAGATTCGGGGGCTACATCCCAGAGGTGAGCTGGACTGGATGCAACGGGAGGGGGAGACAGGCATGTTTTGTCTTCAAGCTGTTCTTCCTGGGAAGTAACTTTACTCTTCTCAGCGCCAGGCCAGAAGCTTTTTACCTTCCCACTGTTTTAAGACCTGACTGTTTTAATTGGACTTTTTTATTGCGAATTTTAGGACGCTGCGTTTTACTCATTTTTTCCCTCTTTTCTTATATTTTGTATTGTTAAACCGTCCCGACACTTCGGAAGTGGGATCGTCTAGGGAAGTTTACAATAAGATGGTCTATGGAAGTTTAAAATAAATAAGAGGCGTTTTAGGATGGTGAGGGCCATGGGGAATGTGGAACACCCGCATAACCAAGGAACGCTCCGGGGGGGGGGGGGGCAAAAACCGGGGGGGCCTTCCCCCCCCCCCCCCGAGCAGCAGCTTTGGCTCTTCCGCCATCGAGGGTCCCGGGCTCGCTCTCCCCGCGGCCCCGAAGGCGCTGCCTCACCGTGTAGGACTCCACCAGCACCGTGGTCTCTTGCGCCAGCCGCTGCTCCTGGTCGATGTTGTAGCCCACGTAGCAGAGCCGCTCCTTCATCATCCGCACCGTCTCGAAGTCGGCCGAGTGGTTGAAGGCGTAGCCACGCAGAAGCAGCAGCTGCCAAGCGAGACCAGGGCGAGATGAGACGAGACGAGACGAGAGGTCCGCGCGATGCCGGAGCCGTGCGTGCCGGTGGGCCGGCCATGTCTCAAGCGGCACCCTGGCGCCCGCGCACCTCCGTGCTGCCCCCGCACCGCCAGGTAATGCCCCCTGCCCGCCCCGGCCTCCCCCACTCCGGGCATCGAGACCCGCCTCTCGCTTGGGCCTGATCCCGTTGCCCCGTGGGTCTTTGGCTTCGCCCTGGTTGCCCTCTAGCCCTGCTGCAAAGCCAGCGCCCTGGGCCCAGTCTCTTCCCCACCGCCTGTGTCCCCGACCTGACACAACAGTCCTGCGAGGTAGGCGAGGCTGGGACGCAGTGCCTGGTCTCGTTCTTACATTGCGTTTTCCCCCTTGCAAGTAACCCCAAGGCGATCGGCATGGTCCTTTCCCACCCCATTTTGCCCTCACAACAACAACCCTGTGAGGTAGGTTAGGCTGAGAGCGAGCCACTGACTCCAAGTCACCCAGGGAATTTCCTGGCTGAGTGGGACGAAACCCGAGTTCTCCCAGTCTAACGCTCTAACCACTACGCCACATGTCCACTCAAAGCAGTAAAAGAATGTAGTTCAGAAAGATGATAGCCTATCACAGCAGTAAAATCAGTGTTAATTTTGTTTTAGGCCACGGTTACTTGGATCCATTTAAGGCTTTGGGTCTACACTTAAAAAGTAATTGAAGCAATAGCATTTTTCTTGGTCGTGCTGTTGCTTTCTTTCTAATTAACTACATGACATTTTTAAATCATTGTCATGCCATAAACAAACAATTGTATTATATATATATATATATATATATATATATATATATATATATATATATTTCTTATTCTGTAGGCTGCCTTGGCGGCCACATCCTTCCAAGTATGTCTACTTAGAAATTAATCAGCCAATTGATCAATGACTGTTCAGCTCCTTTTGGGCACAGCTAACAATTTATCTGTCCCTCCCATAGCAAATTCCTGTGTCCAGAGCCAAAAGAAAGAGCCAAATGCACTGCCGGGAAACGAGAAGCGAAGTTTTGGCGCGCTCAGGGAAACCCCACGGTGTACAGAAGTACAAAAGCCCCAAGAGGCAATCAGCTTCTTCCCCCAGGAAGAAAGAAATACCCCAATTCATATTAAACACAAGTACTGGGCATCAATTGCAAAAGAAAAGAAAAACCGGGTGGGGAGAGACGGAATAGAGCTGGTTGAAGGAGGGCCTGGCTGGCATCCTGAAGGGAATTTTAACATTTTAATTGTGGGTCCCAGCTGTCCACCCTGAAATACAGGGTGGGGTGCACACTTAATGCAGGCCTTTTTGGGTCGAAATTTGCACAGGATTTCACCTTTAGCCACGCTTAGGACAGACTCCCGAAAGCAATGGGGCAAGAAGGGGTCGTGCCCGTGCCCAGCTGATTTCAAGGGGTCTTGAAAGCCTGCGTCAAACCCAGACACGCCGGGCTTCACACATTCCAAGGGCCCTCACTGATGCCCCCGTTTGGGGTTTTTGCAGGCTCCCCAGGTGTCGGGAAAGAGGGCCTGCCGCTCTCACCTTGATGAGGTACCGCGTGATGTCACGCCCCGCGATGTCCAGCCGGCGCGTGAGGTGGGGCAGCGAGAAGCCCTCGTACACGGGGCAGATGTGGGTGACGCCGTCCCCCGAGTCGACCACCACGCCGGTGAGAAGGCCTGCGAAGGTAAGAGCCTGGCTTGGCGGAATTTCTGCTCCGTTTTTCGGAGCGTAAGAGCGTGTGCGGCGAGAGGTTTTTGGACACATTTGCTGGGGGGCCCGTTACTAACCCGCCTCTCCCCCCGCGTCACCCCCACAACTCACCCTGGGCATAGAGGGTCAAGACCGCCTGGATTGCAATATAAACTCCTTCAAACTGATATGTCTCGAACATCACCTGAGTGGGAAGGAAAACCGTTTTGTCAACAGCTCACGAGGTCCACTAAGTAGACGCCCTCATGACCCTGAGGCCGGCTTCCGCCTGCCCAAGCGGCCCACCGTGCCCATCACCAGGAACCGTCCCCTTTGGGTTCCCTCATTCCTGATTTGCTCTCTGCCTATGTGGGTCGTGCCAAACACAGTGGAAAAGAGCAGGTCTCTGCCCCAGGGAGCTTGCAGCCTGAAAGAGGGGCAGATAACCCAGCTCACCCCAGCCAGATCTGCAGGTGGGGCACGGCTGTGCCCCCTACAGCAAAGGGGCTGGGAAAAGGGCACCGCATGAGCCTCCTGTTTCCCCGAAACTGATACCACCTTTACCTGCAAAATAGCGCTGTGGGGAGATGAAAAGGTTCATCCATCCCTGCTCTCTTATATCGGGGTGGGGAAAGTGGCCCTCCCAAACACTGTCCACCTGCCACCCTCATCCAAAACCCCTGGGAGGACTGATGGGAGTCGGAGTCCCATGTTAGAGATCTTTTTGAGTACGTTCCGCAGTGTAAGAACATTCCAGGAGTCCCTCCATCAAGTCCAGCGTCCTGCGCCCCCAACCTGCATCCAATCTGCTGCCCCCGGGACACCCAGCACAGCACCTTCCTCCCCATGCTCCCCAGCACCCGCCGTCCACGGGCACAGTACCCTGGGCCCAGTGCGGGACCAGAAGGGCTAGTGTCCTCCTCCGTGAATCGGTCTGATCTGCTTTGAAAGACCCCCAAGCTGGGGGCTCACCGAGTGTGGCCTGCACCCCACGGAAGTCATGGGACGGCCTCGTGGGCTCCCAGATCCTCCCTGTCACCGTCCCTCCCCAGGAGGGGCCCACCTCGATGATTTTTTCCCGGTTCTTGATAGGGTTCATGGGGGGCTCGGTGAGCAGGATCTTGCAGTTACGGGGGTCCACGTTGAGCTTCTCGGGCCCAAAAGTGTAGTCCCACAAGAACTTCATGTCATCCCAGTTGCGTACAATTCCGTTCTCCATCGGGTAGTTCACCTCCAGCATGGAGCGCAGCTCACTGGCCTCATCTCCCACCATGAGATCCTGCAGCATGAGAAGTCCCGTTAAAGGTTATGCATCCAATCTGTCCATCCAGGGAGGAGAAAAAGAGGAGGGAAGGCAGCCCGGCGGTTCAAAGCACAGCCAAACAGAACTTGGGGTGCATTCATATAAGTGCTTAGTGTGTTCACTAGAGGCAGTGTTGCCTAGTGGTTGTGTATTGTACCATGACTTGCTCGTCCCTGTTCAGCCATGAAACCTTACTGGGCTGCTGTGGGCCACTCACTGTGGCTCAGCCAAGCCCACCTTGCAGGGTTGTTGTGGGCATAAAATAGAGAGGAGGAGGTTAATAAATACTCTGGAAGGACTGTCACTTCAAGGGAGCAGTTTACCGGGGATGCTAATCCCTGTTCAGCATTCATAGCAGGCTAAGTATGTTGTTCTACTGAGGAAGAAAACCAGGGTATAAATGTAATAATAATAATTGCCTTTTTTCCTCTTGTACAGAATCCAAGACAATTTTTATAGGCCCATTTTATCCTCACAATAACAACCCTGTGAGGTAGGTCAGGCTGTGAGTGGTGTAGTGGGTAAGGCTGCAGGACCAGGACTCAGGAGATCCGGGTTCGAGTCCCCGCTTGCCAGGGAGCTCCCTGGGCCAGTCAGACTCTCAGCCCAGCCTACCTCACCGGGTCGTTGTTGTAAGGATGAGTTTGAGAGGAAGAGGAGAATTATGGGAACCGCCCTGAGTTTCTTGACAGGAAAAAAGTAGGGTATAAATGTAATATATGGGTAAAATAAATAAACGCTCACCTTGATCTCAATATTCCCAACTTTCGCCGTCGAGCGGATGATGGGACGACCCACCAGGGCTGGGAAAATGTGTTCCGGGAAATTCGACCCGGCATAGCCGCATTTGACAAACTGTAGGGGAAACAGGGCATGTGGTTTCAGAAAGGGGGAGAGACAAGAGATGACTGGAGCATGGAAAGAAGGTCAAATGGCAGCAGTTGCAAAGAAGGCCAACAGCATGTAAACATTCCCTCAAAGATCCGAAAGAGGCATCCGTTTGCGACAGGGACATCTTAAGGGCAGACTTGGTGGATCTTTGTCTGCAAGTTATTTTAAAACTCTTTCTGGGGCAGCTTTCTTACTCGGAGGGCCGCCCAGTCCAAGTCTGACAGGAAGAGAAAGAACCCCAAAGAGGAGAGTTTTTCGGGGCTCATGCGCAGTTTTAAAGAAGTTGAAGAGCCACGGTGGGGAGTGGCCGACACACACACGGCTCGGCTGCTTGCAATGGCCTCTGTCATTCCGAAACGCGCAACTTTGCAATTAAGTCCATACAACTGCAGTGCAAAGGGGTTTCTGCCTTATTTCGCCCTCCTGTTTGGGGCGATGCCTAAGGGCCCCCCGCTCTGAATGCTGCAGGTCTTTTTGTTCCGAGGCCGAGACGGGTAGATCGCTTAGCGTAGCCTCACCCAGCATGGTGCCCCCCCCCTGGCCTGGCCAAGCCAAATGGGAGTTGTAGTCCAAGCATCGGAGGCCACGGTTATTTTCTTGAATGGAGCTGGACTTTGTGCAACCAACGGAAGGGGTGTGGTTTCCCGCTTCAGTGCCGAGTGTCGGGTTTCCTTTATTACCTTTTTAAAGCGTTTTTATCCCACACGGCAACCCCAAAGTCTCTGAGAGCGGCTTAGGTATAATCAGGTTAAAACAAGACAGTTGCTGTCCCACAGGTACTCTAAAAAGGCACGGCACACAAGGAAAACAAATGGGGAGGGAAGAGGAAAACATGCTTTTCAGCAGGGCAGAGGGGTGAAATGACCCTGCTTTCTCCCTCCATGCACCCTGCTGGAATTAGCTGTTGACAGTAAGGAAGAACTTTTGGGGGAGTTGGGAAAAAGCTTCCTCATCCAGGCAGGCTTTTTTTTTTACTTAAAAGGGCTTTGCTTCTGCATTACATGCATAGTGTCTGGGCTAACGAAGCTCAGACCTGACCAAGGAAACCCAAGATGCAGGAGGAAATGGAGAAACAGGAAATGAAAGAGCGAAGTGTGACTCACAGTGGAACAAACACTGCAAGCATGAAAGGAGCTGTTTGTAGCCAACAAGCCTGCAGAAGGCAGGCGGAGGGGGGGGGGCTGCTTCTCCTGGGATTAGCACAGTCACCAAGAGGGGGGCAGGCGACAAAAACAACCAGCCCCCCCTGCTTGGCGGTTGGGAACCTCGGAGCCAGTGGCAACGGTTCAAACAGCTCCGATTGCCCCCTAAAACAAAGGGCGAGCAACCGAACCCTGAACCCTCGCCACCGTTATCGGGACACCAGACACACAGATCTCACAAAAGAGGACATGTCTGTTCCCAGGTACCATAGCCAGGCAGGGCAGGGAGCCTTCACTGTGTGTAACGCTCCTCTTTAAACCAGCCCATTATTCAGAATCATGAGGACTGGGATCTTACTTTACTTTTAAGGATGGACTATAGCTCAGGGAGAGTGTGCATGCACTATGTGGGAAAAGGTACTGAGCTGTATTCCTGGCATCTCCAGGTACAGCACAGACCAACTCGTCCAAAAAGCCCAGAAAATTTCCTCCTAATTCACAAGTATAACACTGAACTAAATGCTTTGACATTGCAGCTTCCTAGTTCATCAACTTGCAGTTAAATACATTAATTACAGAGAAATAGCCCTAATACAAAGAAACACAACCAGAGAGGCACCATCTCCTGTTAAATAATTTCAGCCATGATCAGCCTCTTATTCAGAAGCATGAGGACTAGGAGGTTGCTTTAATTTTCGGGTAAGGACCTTAGCTCAAGGACAGCAATGCTTTGCCCAGAGAAAGCCCCATATTCTACCTCCAGCATCTCCAGCTGGGTGAGGGACGGTCCTTGTCCGAAAAAGAGCTGGAAAACAGGGACCCGTCTGTGAAGGGACCAAATGGGTGCCTTCCAAGAACCCATATTCCTGAGCACCAGTCTCCCCCGCCCCTCTTCGTTTCTTGTTCTTCATTTTTTAAAAGGGATCTTGAATTGGCGGAACACAAAACGAGCCAGGTTTTTTCCCCCGAGTCGTGCTCGGCAAGGAGTCTGAAGCGTGTGCGTCGGGAGGGGAAGGCTGGGAACAAAACGCAGCAGAAAGCCAGCAGAGGACACGAGGGGGCGGCTTCGCCTACGGAGCTCCACTCCAGCGCGCCGGCAGTGCCAGAGAGATGCCGCCCGGTCCTCCCCCCCGGCACACCCCCGGGTCGCGTCCCCCTGTACAGGGGGGTGCACCGCTCGTCCAAAACCCTGGCAGTGCCAGGAAGAAGCCACATGCAAGGAGCCGCCTTCAGCCCGAGCATGCAAGACGAGTTTGTGCCTGTTTTGCGAAGGGGCATCTCCGATTCATGGAAGGGGCCGAGAAAGCCATCGGGTTCGACCCTCCACTCAGGCCAGGACTCCCAGTTAAAGCATCCCCCCCAGAGGGCTCTCCAGTCGCATCTCGACGGCCTCCAGTGTGGGAGAGCCCGCCACTTCCCCAGGGCTTTCATTCCCTCGCTGCACTGCTCTAAGAGCCCGGATTTTTCCCCCTGAGATTCTGGCTTTCTTTAACTGGAGCTCACTATTCTGTGTCCAGCACTCTGGATGCTGGAGAAGAGATCCTGGCCCTCCTCTTTGGGACAGACTTTCGAGGACGTGCAGAGTGCCACCCCGTCTCCTCCGCTGGAGGCTGAACGTGCCCAGCTCCTTCCGTCAGTCCTCACAGGGCTGGTTTCAGCCCTGATCGCCTCCTCTGAACCCCTTCCCTCTCGTCCGCCTCTTTCTTCAACGGTGGTGCCCGGAACCGGACACAGCGCTCCGGAGGAAGCCTAACCAGAGCTGAGCGAAGGGAGATGTGTGTTGCACTGCACTTCCCATTATCCTCAGCCAGATGGGCAAGATCATCCAACACATCGGAAGGATGCCTGTTTAGGCACAGCTTTTGTTGTTGTGGTTGAGATTTTTAGACAATTTTCCTACATGAATGTGTCTGTGTCTCTAGAAAGGAACCCGTATGGATACTTTTCTTTGAAAAAGCAACTTATTAACAATTGTACTGAGGCTTTTCAACAAAGGGAAGAGAGAATCCATTTCGCGATTTGCTTTTTCCATGCTGCAGGTAAAGGACTTACATCCTCTTTTATCAATGAACATGAGCACAAAAAGAAAAATGTCCAAAACCTCCAGCACAAAAAGAACCTCCAGCACAAAAAGAAAAATGTCCAAAACATACATTTAAAAGAAGTCTTAGTTGTGAGGATCCAGCGCAATCAGCAATGACTAAACCAGAAGTTTCCCTGAAGAAGATGCAGCCACCGGGGTGTGGGCGCTTTTTAATGTTTTGCCTCTGCCCGTTTTTCGTGGACTCCACCCCACCGCGGACCCCTGGTGCTTCTCCAAATGCGATTTGGCCCACAGGTCTCTGCCCTATAAAAGCGTGTAGATTAAATCTGTGGCTTCCGGCACAGTCCTAGGCATGTTCAGACGTTTTTCCGCCCAGCCATGTGCTCTGAAAGTGTTTTCTGAAGCGACCGTTCAGCAGATATGGGGGGAAAGGATCCTTTCCGGACCTCGTAACTTCCAGGTAAATCGGATGTCAAGCCCATGTGCCATCCCCATCTCGCGGCGGCCAAGCTGCAGCCCTGCATCCGACCGCTGCTTTGGAACATCCTCTCCCGCTTCTCTGCTCGCGCACTCTGTGCATCCTCAGAGGCACTCATTACCCTCCCCCTCGGCGTCTTCGTGCCCGGCAGCCTTCCGAGGGCTAAGAGGCGACTCCAGCGCCCATCGTTCCGGGCCGCTGGCTCTGCCGGCCAGCGCTGATGGGAGCTGGGGGCGCACTGTGGCGCGGCGGGACTCGACCCCGCGCCCGCCCGGCCGCCCCCCGCGCCCCCCGCCGCCCCCGCGCCCCGCGCCCGCTCACCCCGGTGCCGTTGTCGCAGACCACCACGCGGCGGCCCCGGCTGTCCATGGCGCCGCCGCCGCTGCCGGCCGCCTGCGGGTCGCGGGTTCGAGCCCGGCCGCCGCCCTCGGTGCCGCCGCGCGTCCGGAAGAGCCGCCCGGGCTGCGGGGCCAGGCGAGGGCGGCGCGGGGAGGAGCAGGCGCCGCCGAGCGGGGAGGGCGCAGCCCCGGCCGTGATGCAACATCCTGGGCTGGCGGCGGCGGAGCAGCCCGGCCGGGGGAGGGACCCGAGCTGCGCGCAGGCACGGGCGCGGATCGGCCCCCCAGCGCCCCTCCCCGGCGCGGCCAGCGGACCCTCTGAATCCAGGCTTGCCTGGAAGGGAGTGCCTCCTCGCTCCCCCGGGGCACGTGCCCCCCCTGGTAAATCGGCGGAAGAGCAAAGCCCCTCGGAGGGCACGTTCCGGGGGCAAGTTGATCAGAAGGAATCCGCACTGTGTCCAGAGGGTCCGTTGCAAAGTGGGTGCAGGGAAGAGTCCAGAAGAAAGACAAGACAAGACCCTGGGCAGAATAAAGAGGCATTATTAGGATCCCTAAGGTCCATAGCTGAGATTCACAATATGAGTTTTATTTATTTCTATGAGTATTTCAAGAAGTTCGGAGCACACAAACATGATTCTGCCCGGAAAGGGGCTCAGAGAGCGGAGAAGTGGGCTGCGTTCATGCCCTGGACCATCCAAGGTGGGAAGTGGGCTCCGTTCATACCCTGGAAGCGACAAGGATGGGATGCCGGCTGTTGTGCTTTGGGCACATCGCAAGAAGACCATCGAGGCAGGAGAAGAGGAGGAAGGCCAGCCAGAAGGATGGACTCCCTCCAGGAAGCCACCGCCTTGCGCTCACAAGAGCCGGGCTGTGAAGAACAGGCCATCTGGGAGGGCCTCCACTCACAGGGTCGTGGCACGTTGGGGACACCTTGAAGGTACAACACAACAGGAGCCCATTATCATGGTGCTGAAACCATGCCTTCAGACACAAACTGAGTGTGCAGACAGTTTGGGAACATCCTTATGCCAGGAAGGAAAAGTCACCCTAAAGTCCAGGAGGGAGATTGGGATGGGATGGGCAGGTGAGAGATGAGGGGGCAATCGAGGTGAGATCTAAAAGGGGCTCCATAGAAGAGCCTGAATTCAGGGGCTCCAGTGATTTTGCGCCGAACCAGCACTTGGGAATAAGTGCACTCGTGCATGAGTCGGGAAAGAGCACGTTCCCACATGGCCCGCCCACTATGGACTGCACCCTTTTGGAACAACTTACGGCTGATCGACATCCGCTGGAAAACAGGGTACCTGATTCCACTCTGGGGCCTCCCTGGTTGTCCGCAGCACCACAAGTGAGAGTCCTCATTAAACTGTTTCAGGGGATTCTTTGAGAAGCCAGGTTTTCCTCCTAGGCAAGTGCGGATTCCGGGCAGGGGCGAAGGTCCAGCTGATTGCACATAAGGTATTCGTGTGGTTTTGGCTAACTAACAGGACACAATCCATGCATGAGTTGGCTATTCATATATATGCCAATTATATACTTCACAAGTAGGCGGCTCTATAGAATGCAGTGAAAAGAAACGGACACTCGATGATCAGACATTCTTCCCCCTTGCAAAAATGTGAGTCATACCAGCTTCTTTTGTCCCAGAGCCTGGCGCCCCACCTAAAAGTAATCTTCAGCTTCACTTCTGTTTGCTTCTGCTCTTCACCTGGTCAGTAAGGTGTGGAAGACACTTGCATTCATGGGGCATTGTGTACTTTGCCATAATGCCACCTAGATTAGACTCAGGGTGGTGGTGAATTCCCCAGAGAGCTACGTCTCTTTCATCTGGCCCCATTCCTTCTCCCCGCGGGTCCCAGTTTTCCTGCAAGTGTTTCCTTTTGCCTCATTCTAAACACTGGAATGCCTCTCGGAAAGCTTGGCATGGCTTGAGTTCCTCAAGTGAACAACAAACTGCATTCAAGAACAGTCTCCTTTCGGCGGTCCTGAAGCTGCTGCCAGTCCGCCCCACTGGCCTGGAGTTCTTATATTCCGAGGAGTCGCAAACGTGGCCTCTCATGCTGAATTCGTGGCTGGCTGCTCCAGTAGAAAGATACCAGACTAATCAACCCTCTGGGTTTTCCCTTTGGGGTATTTTTAAATCCAACTGTGTGCCTGCAGCTAGAATTGCTTCCTCTTTCTCATCATCGTCTTTGAGGAAAGAGCTTGCGCCGCAAAGTCACGGAAAGATACTGGAAACATTTTCCTGTTCTGCCTGCAGACTATTCCCACGGACGCACATACGCACGCACCAACCATCTGCCAACCCAGGAGGCAGCAGGGGGGAGATGTCCCAGCGAGCAGGACCTGGGTTTGGGCCGCAGTCAGGCCAATGTGGGCAGGAATCAATAGAGACGCCCCTGCCCAGGAACACGGGCGACTTAAGGGGAGGTGGTAATCCATGCATCATTCAGATGTGCCCTTCCGCCATCTATCTTGGACTGTGCTCTTATATTCTGGTATTAAGTTACTGGCTCCATACCTCGCCCACTCGCTCCCTAATTCCATAATTTCAATGTCACTCCATTGTTTTCTCCTTTATATTTCCAGTTTCTCCTCCCTGTTATAGTTCCCTCCACGTAAAACACTGGATATGCCCGATCTTTTGCGTTTCCGTGTGGGAAAGATGTATGCTCTCAAAACCTTTCTTATACATTAGTGCAAAGGCATTAAAATGTAAAGCAATATGCCAAAAATGCATTTAAAAAATAAGAATTAAAAGGTAAGTAAAACATACCCTGTAATAACCCTACATGGGGGAGCAACCTGAAGCTGTCAAACTGTTCTTGGCTACAATTTCCATCTGTTCTAGCCAGCATAGCCAATGGTGAAGGATGATGGGAGTGGTAGGCCAAAGCCTCCAGAGGGCCAACGTTTAGGCGAAGGCTAAAGCACAGATCCCAGCCTATGGAGGCACGACATGGCTGCTCAGAAGGAAGCCCCGTGGAGTTCAGGAAGGACATATTCCCAGGTAATTCACTGGGTGCAGGGTTGGACTGCAACTCCTATCATCCCTGACAATGTGCTAGGCTGACCGGGGCTGGTGGGAGCTAGAGCTGGAGAGCACCTGGAATGCATCTATTTCACCACTCCTGAGCAAGACCTTAGAGCTGGTTTCGGTTATTTTTGGTCTGACTTTCAGAGGTCTTCTTAAAATGCAATGTTTTACTGTGGCTTTCCTTGAAGCACGGTCCAGCCTGCTCGGATTTGTAGCAGAGCAGGAACGCGCAGCTTCATGACACGCTGGTTGATGTGGCTGTGCTTTTCACTTCCTATATTTACTTCCTATACTCACTTCCCAGTCTTTTGCAGGTTCAGACAGGAGAAAGGCCTAAAATTCCCAGCATGCCTCAAACAGCTTTCCCAGCATGCCCCAAATAGCTATCTGGGGTATGCTGGGAATTTAGGCTTTTTTTCTGTCTAGACCTGCAAAGCCTTGTACCCTTCATGTTGCCTTGTGCCATTGGACGTTATGTTCTCCACTTTGATCCCTTTGTGGAAGTAGTATATAAAGCTGAATAATGACATACAATAAATGTTTTAATAATAATAGGAAGGAGATATGCCCTAAGTTCCTAACCTAAATGGTGGCCTAGATGATGTTGTGATGGCCACCAATCTGGATGGCTTTCAAAGAGGACTGAACACATTTGTGGAGGAGGCTATTCAGGGCTACTAGTCCTCATGGTCCAATGTGGCCGTCAGTATCAGAAACGGCATGCTGGGAAGCTGGGTGGAGAAATAGCGGACGAGATGGACTTTGGTTCTGATCCCACAGGGTGCCTCTTCTTACACTCTTAGAAATATTTGCAACTAATAAGAAGGGTTCCCTTATAAAGCCACCAAAGTCAGAGCTGGCAAGCGAAGAAATAGCAAAACCAGGGTGGTGAATAAAACCAGAATTATACAGAACTATTATTCATCCACAGTACATTAAATTGCTTATTAACTATTCCTGCCCTGTGCGTATCTAAGAAAACCAAGAAAAGAGTGTGGGCGATTCTGCCCGTCTCCTTCCTCGCTATAGGATGTTTTTCTCTTGTCTCGGTTTAAATTTCTTGCTACTTCGATCCTCGTTAATATTATGGATGCGCATCCGCGTGCGCGTGTGTCAGACAAAAAACGCGCGTCTGTCCCTCTCGCCGTTTGGCTGTCCTCCACTTCTCAAACGCGTGTCTATAAGAAACTCCAGGGGGGAGCATTCACTCGTGCCCCGGCTCGCCTGCTCCGCTCCGGACCCTCCTCACTCTGACCTTCGGGGCTCGAGCGCCGCCCCCGCCCCGGCCCCGCGGCTCCCCACCGACTGCGCTCCTCCCCGGGACCCGCGCCCCATCCCGTCCGCTCGCCCCTCCCCCGTGGCCTCTCCAGCCGGCGCCCCCACGCCCCTTCTAGCCCTTTCCAGGCGTTCGCACACCTGCAAAGCGATAAACAAACGCCCCCCGCCCCCCCCACTTAGCTTTGTGATGCGGACAAGGTGGGGGGAGATTTGGGCTGCCCCTGGATGGGAGGAGGAAGAGGAGGGCTTGGGCAGGGTCCCCTTTTCGCTGGCTCGCGGGGGGGGGCGCGTGTTGCAGGCTTGCGCGGGGGGAGCGCGCCTGTGATCCGCCCGGCGCCGGAGCGGCAGCGGCTGCAGCAGCCTCTCCGCCCTCCTCCGCCAATGCGGGGCCATCCGCCCTGCGCAAGCGGCTGCTGAGCGAGGATCCGCCGCAGGGGAGCGGGGGACGCGCCGAGGGGTGAGCGGGACCCCCGGCCCTGGGGGGCAGGGAGGGGGATCCGGGGGAGGCTGCGGGGAGAGGGGTGGGTGTTGCACGGGGGCAGCGCGCCGGGGAGGGGGGCTGCCGCGCACAGGGATCCCCCGCAAGAAAACCCACTTCTTTCTGGCTGCCTGCCGGCCCCCCCCACCCCAGCCTGCCCCCCGCCCAGCCACCCTTGCCTGCCCCCTCCGTTCCCGGGCCCCTAATCCTCCCCGCGCCCACCCTCAAACCCTTAACCCTAACGCCACTTTCCTGCCCTCCCCAAACCTCTTAGCCCCTCATCTTAATCCCTTGAAACCGGCCCGAGCGCCCTTCCATGTCCCCC